CAACTGACTAAAACCATAAAAGCCAACTTCTAACTCAAAGGCACAAGGTTCTTAACCTTGAGGTCGTGGGATCGAGTCCCACTGAGGGCATTTCATAATTCGGAAGTCTCTTACGAAAGCTGCTCTCAACCTGGTGTTGGGGGTAGCCTACTATCTTACCTCCCCCTTACCCCATACATATGGGAAAAAGGGACAGCCATTTTCTAACTTAAAGGCCACGGAGCTTTCACATGATAAGAAAACAAAAAAAACACGTATATAGCCGCCTTTCCACCACATCACCACGTCTTGTTGGCTAAAGACCATCCGAACTTCCAGCTCCAGACAAAAAGCATGGTGTAGATCACCTGAACCTTCTACTCCTTCCCCCGCCATCGTCTTCCGACAATAGATACACTACTGCGCCATTAGACTCACAACCCAAATCTTTCCCAAAAGGCAAGGAATTGAACGAAACTACTCAAGTAGCTATTTATCAATAGCTCAAATCAAATTACTATAGGCCATCGAAATATGTATTTAAATATAGAAATGACATCGCAATACTATTATTGTACATGCACAAACAATGTAAGTATTAAGAAACATTAAATATTATAAATGTTTACCGGACAATGGAGTATTTAAAAACATAAAAAATGGGGAAGGGTGGTAGGAAATAATTAACACATGGTTAAGAAGCAAAACAAGGCAATTTTTACCTGATCAGCAACCGCTTCAACGAGCTCCAACTCGTGAATATGCCATTGCCTTGCACTATCTGAAGGGAGCATCAAAACCATCAAAGCATATCTTTTCGTTGAAAGTTCAGGCCAATCATTAATATGAAAATTCGAGAGATGCAGGAGTGGGACACGAACAGCAACAACCTCTCCAGGCAGGTACTTCCCTGCAGGCCGTAGTCTTGCCACTGGACAATTTGGGGAGATGTTTATGGCATGATTGGTGCTAAAAACTTGATTGATCACAGGATGATGGATCGGAACAGTATAAACAACTGGATTCTGTTGACGAAGGGTGTAGGAAAGTTGCAGCTCTAACCCGGTACGTGTTGGCATCCACAATGCACATTCTTCTAATGACAAAGTTCGACCCAATTCAACAAGTGTAGTTCTTAGTATTGTATGTCTATCCAAAGTACTCCGGATCTCGTGTGTAAGCATCCGAACATGTCGACCTGTTTCTTCTTGTGTACGAATCAAACCCATTTCTCTATCAAGCTCAGCAGCCTTATTCTTTAAAAACAATTCTCTTGTTTTTACACTCAACAGATCTGGAATAATATGTACAAGCATCAAGGCCGTTACGCAAGACACCAGAGCTGTCAAAACCTTTGCAGTGGTCATCACTGACGCCACGGTTCTTGTGTGCGGTGTAAAAGTCCACAAGTTAATAAGATGAGTTGCACCACAAAGCACAATAAAGGCACCAAACTGCACGAGGACCCATCTATAAGGAAACACAGCAGATTTCTTGACGAAGTATATAAGCTCTAAGGGGATTGAGAAATATGCAAGTGCGATGAAGAAATCAGAAATATATTGATATTTCATCAACAGGTCATCCGGAGGCCCTTGCGGCTCAATACAGTTGCACGCCATCCGACTGAATCACCTAAGCTCTAGCTTCTTCTTCTTCACATACCTGACAGCAGATCATAAACATTTAAAAAATGCGCTCAGCTAAAAAGGTACAATTTCTTGGTTTAGGGTTTGATTTTACCCCCAAAACATTGATTCATCAACGCTAATGATAATATTTCTTAGATTCAATAAGCATACCAAATGGAACAAGATAAAAATTAAAACTATATACTATTTTTAGTATCGACCGCAACCATAAGCTGATATAATCCCACCCACTTACTTGCTTACCAAACATAGCCTTAAGCATAAACAAGAAAGAAATTAAAATAATGCAAAATAGTCAAATTTTGAGTTGAGCAAGAACAGAGCTTAAACCTGAGAAATCAGATAGAGAATAAATGCCGGAAAACAGTAAATTAAAAAAAAAAACTTACCCAAACAAAACAATCAAGCTAGCAAAATTTCTTGCTGGATCATCAAAATGAATTTCACAAACAGCTGCCCAGAGCACAAAAATCAGATGTCCAAAACAATTATAATTTAAAAAAAATCAAAAGAACTGGAAAATCAAGGAACGGAAAACAAATTTAAAAGTAAATTTAAGAGTAAATTACCTAGCTGGGTTTTTTTGGGGCAGTTTAATTGCAAAGCCTTCCCTTTCAGGCAAGCTTTGACGATCTGTGTTCTTTAAGGGAGGGTTCTTTTTCCCCCGTCATTATAGGGAATGGAAAGTAGGCACCAGAAACAAATATGCGGCTTATGATGCTGTTACTGATCTTTGACTTTTAGTAACGGACGGTTTAATCAAGGCCGTTGGTGTTTTCAGTATTTATCCGTGATGGAGGTGGGATTCTCCCCGGGGCCACAGTGTGGTGTGGAGTAAGTTGATCGTCACAGACACGTAGCTTTATCAATCTTGGCTATAGTGATCCAACATGGATGACAGCTTGTATTTCCTACGTGTAAATAGCAAGACAAACCAGATATTTAGTTGGGAAAGGAGAAAAAAGTAATTTTTTCTATTAATGAAATTTATTAATTTAATTTTTATAATTTAATTTGAGTATTTTTTAATTAATTTATTTATTATTAAATTTAAGTGATTATAAAGTAATATATATTTTAAATAATATTAATCATTTGACAATAAATGTTAAATCACAATATTATAGACATTGATGCCAAAATCTATGACCTCTATAAACAACGAAAATTTAAAATTTCGATCACAAATTATATAATAACTGTTAAATTTATTTAATTAAGTATGCAATTAGTCTTTGTATCATGCATAGTTAAAATTTAACTTCTATTATCTAATATAGTACTGACATAGGTTTATAAAATTTCATTTAGCATATGAAAATTATTAGAAATTATTTTATTTTTTTAATTATATTTAGAGTACATAAAAATATACTTATTATTTTAATAATTAGACTCACATATAACCACAAATAATTTTAATTTTCTTATCGATGATTGAATACTAAAGTTCAAGTCTAATTTACTATTTAAAAAATAGAAAATAATTTCAGTAATCGAAAATGCCTTATAATATACGATTTTAATAATTTTATCTTAAGAATTTTCTCTAAATTTCGCAACGCTGGTTCCAAATTCGCAACGCGAACACGATACTCCAAAATCGCAATGCATTTGTTTCTTAAGAATTTTCTCTAAAAAGATAGTATCCGCGCGGACGTGTCGAAAACACGAATGACCACGATCACGACGGGACGGGCGGCGGCGCGCGAGAGTCCCCCTTGTTTTCTTTCACTCAACAAGGAAGTGAGAAATCCAAACCTTAAATACCCATTCCCAATAGTGTTTCTAATACTACGTGAGATTGAAAATATAAGATCTTTGTACTTGTTTCAATGCTTAATTTGGATGATTTGCCCTTCTTTTAAATTGCTTGTGTGTTTTTATATAGTTTTATCACATGGTCTATACAGCAAATCCTACATACCTGGATTGTTTTTTTGTTGCCAATAAATGAAATATGGATTCTGGGCAATGTTTATATATGTTTATGTCGAAATATTTTAGCATTTCTTTTTCTTGATCTATATAGCAATCCAGCTTGTTAGAAATGTATTAGTTTCTTGATGTTCTTGTTGCTTATATATTGTTGTGCGGATTGAATTATTTTCCTTGGTGATAACCGGATCATACATGTCACTACTAATGAGTTAGAAGTGCATAATTCATAAATGTGATAAAGTTATGTGATAGCAATTGTCACAACATAACTAAATATGTGTAAACCCTTGATAGGGATAGTTTCTCTTCCTTTGCTTTGAGCTTTGTTCTGCATGTTAGGGTATTAAATTTTGGAAACTAATTGAAATGGGGACTAGTGGTCTATAATGCAAGTGATACTTTAATGAGCAGGATGGCATAATAAGGTAGTGCAATTTGCTTGGTGTTGGATCTTATAAAGAGGTTGCTGCGAGAATGATAATTGCCTAAATGTAATACTCAATCCCACATAATATTGGGAATACTATTGGGAATGAGTATTTAAGGCTTGGATTTCCCACTTTCTTGTTGAGTGAAAGAGAACAAGGGGACTCTCACGCACCGCCGTCGTCGCCCGTCCAGTCCGGTCGTGGTCGTGGTAATACGTGTCTTCTAATCTTTTTAGAGAAAATTCTTAAGAAACAAATGCATTGCGATTTTGGAGTATCGCGTTGCGAATCTTAAAATCGCGTTGCGATTTTGGACTATCGCGTTTCGAATCTGGAAACTGAGTTGAAAAATTAGAGTTCGCGTTGCGATTTTGTTGGTCATTTTGGCAAATCTAAAAAAAGTTGGTTAAGATCGTATATTATAAGGCATTTTCGGTCACGGAAGTTATTTTCTCTTTAAAATATTAATTAATTATCGAATCTCGTATTTCTGTTCAAACCGATGGGGCCCAAATAAAACGGACTTTAAAGGCCCAAACCAATAACCAGAGTGCCGGAGTCAACAATGGCAAAATCGGTATTAAATTCTTTTGTTCCGTTATGGCCATATAACTATATTTTATTTTAAAATCATATTTAAAGTTTAGTTTTGGTCACCTGCTGTTAAAAATTAACGGTAATACTGATGTTTCATCATAAAATAATAATATATCATCATTGCAAAAATAGAAAAGGTCACCTCAATAGTTGTGTTAATTTTTTAGCTATAGGTGACCGGAATAAAATTAAAATTAAATATTAGATATTAGATATGATTTAAAAAAAATAGTTAGATGATTAAAATAAAATAAAATTGATAATTAGTTACTAGATGTGTAATTTACTATAAAATACAAAAAAAAAATCTGAAAATGTGAAGTATCGAAGATTTAAAGAAAAGTGATGCTCAACTTGCATCTAATATCTTCTTATGTTTTAATTATTATATATATTATGCACACACAGATATGCAAATGAGTCTAAACAAACAGTAAAGCGAAGACCCACAGGAATGGCAGATCCTGTGAAGAAGAAGATGTTGAAAGAAGAAATCATTACCTACGCTTATCTCATTCTCTACATCGCTCTCTCCAGCGGTCAAATCTTCTTCAACAAGGTGGATTTATCTCTTTTCCCTTTTTCTTTTGGATCTCTCGTTTTTTTTATTAGCTTCATGTGAATTTAAGACGGTTTTAAGTTTTAGACTTCACATTTGGTGGAAATGCTTGTAGTTTCAATCAATTGCATTACATTTAATTTTATGTTTAGCTTAATTATTCTAGTCGGAATTGTCTTTCCGTCGAAAGTAAGCTCGTAATCTGATGTTTTTTTGGATAGTGATTTTTGTTTTAAAATTGGCGTATTTTTTAGGTGATGCTTCGCTTGTAATTTGATAAAGACGTTGATGCTGAATTTGTAAGCTCATAATCTTCCCGCATTCAAGCAGGAAAACGAGTCTCAAGTAGCTTATTATTAGTTCAGGGTTGGCCTTGCAATAATTTTGGCTTTTTTTAATGATTTTATGACTAGCAGATATGTTTCCTTTATAGTCTTAGAACTTCATGTGACAAAATGGAAATGTTATCATTTGTTACATGTGCCTGAAAATGGGCGTCTTTTCAGGTGAATGGGCTTAATAGTGGTCCATAACTGTGTCACTGTTAACTTCTTATGCATACTCCTTTCTGTCAAACCTTTTCGATTTCAGAGATCAGATCTATGTTATTCATGGTGAATGCAATGCATTTTGTATAAGTTTTAATATTTCGTGTATTGTTAGTTTGACCATATTGTTCATGAAATTTTAGTGTTGCTTGTTATTTTTCTGCCATAAAATGTTTGTTTGAGGTGGTAGAGAATGTGAAACGCAATCTTCTTGTTTGCTTGAATTCTCCATACTACGTTGGCAATATGCTGACAAAGATTTAGAATCTCACGAGTAAAGAATGCCCTTCTGTAACATTTGTCTAAAAAATGGTCCCTCAGGTGAGTGGGCTAAAATTGCTATTGATAACTATGTTATTCCTTATGCATACTTGATTGTGAAAACGTGCAGCTTGAGAGTTCAGAATAGTGTTGGTAACGTTGAATTGAACTCAAATACAATGTTTTCTCTGTCAGTTCAAACATTGTATGTTTTGTTAACTTGACTATGTTATCCATTAATTTTCAGTGTTGCTTGTCATTTTTATCTTCTCCGCTTTCTGTGAAAATTGCAGTGGGTTTTGTCATCAAAGGAAATTAATTTTCCATATCCCCTTGGGTTGACTCTGCTTCACATGCTCTTCTCCTCTGTTCTATGTTTCGTACTCACCAAGGGCTTCAAGGTATCCTCAACACTATATATTTATATAAACTGGTATTCAGTGATGAACTTTTAATTTCTTTTATGTGGAAACCTTGATCTCCCTTTTTTACCATGCCAGATTTTGAAAGTTGCAGATGGAATGACATTAGAAATGTAAGTTAGTAACAGACCACCTTATTTATGATGCTTGAATGTACTTTGTATGGTTAGAAACAGGTTTATATACTGGGTGGTTTTGATTAGTGTCTTTAATGGTGATTGCAAATGAATAACCTTGGTGTTCTTCAATGAAAATTGAAAGGACACGGATGTTACTAACTAGGGAAAGGGAAAGATAGTAAAACTTGGAGGAAGAATACTTTTTAAAAAGAGAGAAAAAGAAATATAGAAGGACAAAACAGTTACAGAAAGAGAGAAATTAGAAAGAATGGGAAGAAAAAATTAAATAGACTGGGAAAACAGGATTAATATGGGAGAAAAATAACAGAAAGAAATGGGCTGTTTGCTTTTTCTTTTGGTACTCAGGCAAATCATAAACTGAAATGATATAAGCAATTATAGATTACTTTCTAAAAGTAGTTGATAAATTGTAACTTTTTTTCCAGATAATTTTCAATAAAAGATGGAATTGTATGAAATTACATAATAAACTCCTAAACTACGTAGTCTCTGTACGTGCATCCTCCCTTGCATCAAAGATTCTTAACAAGTTGTTGACTGTGGTCTCACTAACCATTTCATTTTTGATTAGGGAAGGTATCATTGTTATGGTGCTCAAATATGAACTTGGAAAGGGATAGTTCCTTTTTTGTTGGTGGTTAGGAGAAGCGCTTCAACCTGCCATACCTTCCTCGTTCCTTAATTTTGTTCTTATGTCCTCACTCTACAATAATTGCATAGTGTAGCTGGTACTTAGTCCTTGGCTCTGTTGGGGTTAGTTACTCTTTAAGCATCTTAATAGGACTCTTACTAGAAAAGGAAGTTGTTTTTAACCTAGTTTGGTTGTCCCTTTTGTTCTGATCTTGTACTCTAGAAAATAGACAAACATTTCCTGTAAGTTAAAACTTGTAGAGAGATGAGATAAAGTAAATGATTGTGTTAATTTATTTCACTGTTTCTGATTCATCATGTTTCGTGCTCTGGTACTCGCCCCAATCTAAATATTTAGAACTCCATGCTATTTAACTCATGCCAATTCTCTTTTCTCCATGGAAGATTAGTAATGAACGGTAGTTGTGGCAGTTTGATGTTTCAGTTGATGCTGGTAAATGAAGAACCAAAATGTTAAGTAGGGTATTCTAGTAAAGAATAAATTAGAAACTTAAAGTACAAGCCAAGAATCCAATGCAACTACGATTGATTTGTAGCAACCCTTATCTGAAATTTGCAAGATGGGAGCATATTTTGAAGTACAGAAAGCTAAAAAAATTCCGATGATAAATTGAAGTTCCCTTCCACTGCAGCTCCTGTCATCTCTTTGGTCATTATATATAACCATTATCATACATCTTGTTTTTAATTGAGATTATATTAAGAACAGTAATTCGTCTTTGTTTCCTCTTCATCATTCTATGTATGTTGTTATTCTTCTTTATATACTGTACCCTTAATTTGATGAAGTTAAACATGCACAGATACACAACATCTGTGGTCCCAATTGGTGCCATGTTTGCAATGACTCTTTGGCTGGGAAACACTGCCTACCTGTATATATCTGTTGCATTTGCACAAATGCTGAAGGCAATTAGTAAGTTGTCAAAATTCATTGAGCAAATTACACTTTATACCCATATTCTTTTTGTTGAATTTGTTTTGATCAAATGTGCCATATAAATGTACCCTTAACCCTGTCTGTTGTTGACTTGTTGCTGTTTGACTAATGGGGTTATGTTATCAAAATATGGTATGTATTGTGATGTTTTCATCTGATTTGTTTTTTGAAATAGAAGAGCATCCCTTGCTTCAGTTTCTTGACCCTTTTCTTGATTTTGAAGTGAAGCAAAATCCTGTAGGAGATAATGTGTAAGCATGTATATGTACATATATTGGACGTATTGTTAAGGTTTTTTTTGTTTTGTTTTGATAGTAATAATAAGGTTATTTTTGCTACTCTATTCAAGTAGGGATTGGTGTGACTTGTTGATAAGTCAAACAGTGAGAATTGCACTAGGTCAGGTGAAATCTTTTATATCTTGTTAGATGAAGTTAATTCTGCCCTAACCACAAGGGATTAACTGTTATTGTCTCTATATTGAGTTTCAGGTGGGTGGGTAACTAATGCATGTATAAATTGAGTTGGTCTCGATGCTGTAAAATATATTTTTTATTTTGCAGAAGATGTTAGACTAGTGATTGAACTCTAGGCATTCAAACACCATGAATAAGGGTCATGAATGTGCCAATAAATACATTACTATATATTACCATCATTTAGATGGCAGATATGAAGATTGTGATATCAATACTTTTCTTGAATGAGCTTTCAGTGCCTGTGTCTGTTTTCATCCTTGGAGTAGCAGCAGGACTTGAGGTAATGAGCTGCAGAATGCTTTTAATAATGTCAGTGATAAGTTTTGGTGTTCTGGTGGCTTCTTATGGAGAAATAAATATCAGCTGGATTGGAGTTGTTTACCAAATGGGTGGTGTTGTCGGAGAATCTTTAAGACTTATATTCATGGAGATTCTGGTTAAGCGAAAGGGTCTCAAATTAAACCCTATATCTCTCATGTATTATGTTAGTCCTTGCAGGTACTTATTACATCATTCTTCATATTTACCCTTCTCCTGCCAGCATTCCATTTCTTCCCCATATACAAATTTAATTCCGGTTGGGATTGAAGGTTCGTGTCTCTTTTGCAGTGCCCTTTGTCTTTTTATTCCTTGGCTCTTTCTGGAGAAACCAAAAATGGACGCTCATAGGATGTGGAACCTTCAGCCTATTGTGCTAACGCTCAACTCTCTCTGCACCTTTGCACTCAACTTGTCAGTTTTCCTAGTGATCTCCCACACTAGTGCTCTAACCATTCGTGTAGCTGGAGTTGTCAAGGATTGGGTGGTGGTTTTAGTTTCTGCCCTTCTCTTTGCAGATACAAAGTTGACATTCATAAATTTACTTGGTTATGGCATCGGTAAGTATCTTAAAGTGAATTCGTTTTTATATCTTCATCTCTTGCAATGAGCATTTTCTATTTACATCATTTTGAGGACATAGTCAAAAGCCAACAATCCATTCATATTACGGAGGATAAGGATGTAGCTCAGTCTTTCAGGTTACACTTAAAAGTACCTTAGCAGCAGCTGGTTAAGTATAAGCGAAGTATAAAAATTTGAATTGACTGATATAGACAATTGATCTTTCAAGCATGGTGGAGATTATCCATGGTTTTTCTGGACAGACCTTGAAAATTAATGCCTTAGATATGCTAAACACTGCATCATGCTATTAACGATTTACTCTGATGGGGTGTGCGTGCCTAAGGATTCACATAAGGCACAACTGAACTAACTAGTTTGATATTAAGTCTTACAACAACTTCTATAAGTTTGAGATGATAAGTTTAGTTAGTTCATTATTGATTTTTAATTTCTTTTTATCGCTTCTCTTAGTTTTAGCTACAACTGATTTCTCCATATACTTTTTTTAAGGACAAGAATCCCTTTTTTTTTTTCCTGGTAACTTGAGGTAATTTATGGTCTTGGAGCTTACCTGGCTTAAGATAAAAATCTTTATAATCAGATGCTAGACGTTTCTCACATACCTAATCACTAACTTGCCTTATGTTAATGTGTGGTTGTTTCAATGATGTACCATGAGACATTGATTTCATTATGAAAATTGCATGAAGTTTAGATGGTACCGAAGTTATGCCGTTAAAGACAGGTTCTTGGCTGGGTTTATCCTGATCCAGTCCTAGGCTTCATTATCTTTTCATCTAGTAACTAGTTCTCATGCTTTGATATTGTCATAAATTTCGAATAATTTCTAGCTTTTGTTGTGGCATTCCGATTCTTTTCTGTTTCTTCGATTAGCTTAGTATTTTTTTATATTATTGTGTAGCCATTGCTGGTGTGGCGGCATACAATAATCACAAGTTGAAAAGGGAAGCATCTCGTAATATCTCTGATGACTCCCAAGATGCCCAGAGCATTCCGATGACTACAGCCTCGAATCCGAACAGATAGTTATGTGCAACACTAATCTGCCAAGATGGTGTTGAAAGTATAAAATAATTGCAAGAATGACAGCTACTTGGAACCACCAGTTAATTTCATTGCCCCTGTTTATTCCGGAATGTTCATCACACGCTGCAGGCAAAAAAAAAACCATTTCCTGACTTTTCGATTACAGATTTGTCGTAGTTTTAATTAGTTTTTCCACTGATTCTTCAGCAGATTATTTGGGGTACTTTGTGCCACCATCGAGCTGCAGCACCCGTTGTTATCTTTGGAGAAATTGCCCTACTGGGATGAGGTAAAGTAGAAAAACTGTAAAGAAATACTTGGACTATTTTAAACTACAGTGTTACTATGATTTTTGCTTTTACTCCTTAAATGTACACTGCTTTATTGGATCGAGTTAGAGGTCCATGCTTTTGTTGACTCGGGTTTGGTTTTAAACAGTAAAAGCTTATTTACCCAAACTTAATTAGACTTTAAAGCTCGTTTTACTGTTTAAAATAACATTAAATATGAAAATATCAATTTATATATGTTATTTATTATCGTTATATTAAATTTATGAAAAATATTTCCATTATTTAAATAGTAAAGTAAATGGAGTTCAATCTATAAGTCATCTCAACAGTAATAAAGAGTTGTTATTTTTAAAAGTCATACATTTATACAGTGTTCATAGGGCGTGTTGTTAATAATTAAAAAATTAACTTAAAATAATTTGGGTGAAGTCGAGTAACTCAAATTACCAAAATTCTGTCCTGGGGAATTTTTATACCAGTACTATGTATTTGTAAATTAAATTTAAAATATTTAATTTATTATTTAAATAGTAATTTGAATTTTTTATTTTTAATGTGTTACTTTTACTTAATTAAAAAATGCAGTAATTTCTTTCTTCTCATTAACATGTTATGCCAATCTCTACTACCTAACCCTTCTAACATTTTTTTAATGATATAAAAATAATCGAAAGCAATGAAATCTATCTAGTTGTATAAAATAAACCAATATATTAAAGAAAACTTGTATTTATAGCTTTAAATTTTATTAAAGTTTGTTATTTTACCTTTAAATATCTTTTCCCCAATCACAACTTATTTTATTATCGACTATATAAGTAAGCCCAAAATACAAAAAGCCCATGAAAACCAAAACGATGGACCCTTAACATAAAAGAAAACCCAAAATCCAAGATGAAGAGAAGGGAAAACTGAAAAGAAAATAAATAAAAGTATTTTTTGAAGCAACGAACCCTCGCGATTTTTCTTATTTCCTATGAGAAGGGGGGAATTTTTATTTTGAGAACAAATTTTCCCGGAAAATTGAAGGATATGCGATTCTGGCGGTGCGGGTGGCCGTCCGATGAGAGATCGTCGAAGGAGGATCATCGTCGTTGATGGGATTTGTCGAGTTACAAATGACTTGGCAGCCGAGTCTACTCAGTGAAAAACGGAAGAAGGGACCCCCTTTAGGCTTAAGAAATCTCGGCAACTCGTGTTACCTCAACAGCGTTCTTCAGTGTCTCACCTACACTCCACCGCTCGCCAATTTCTGCCTCCGCTCCCGACACTCCTCCTCCTGCGACGCATCAGCCTCCAAAAAACCCCGCGACTGCCCTTTCTGTATCCTTGAAGCGTGGATTGCACGCTCCTTAACCCTCGATCTCACCCTCGACTCGCCTTCCAAGATCCAAAGCTGCATTAAAATCTTCGCTGAACACTTCCGGTTCGGCCGACAAGAGGATGCCCATGAGTTCTTGAGGTACGTCATCGATGCTTGCCATAACACATGTCTTCGTTTAAAGAAATTGCGGCGAAAGGTAAGTGAAGGCGGGGGAGGCGGGGGAGAAGCAGTGAATGGCAATACCGTAGTTAAAGAGATCTTCGGCGGTGCTTTGCAAAGTCAGGTTAAGTGCTTGGGGTGTGGTGGGGAGTCAAATAAAGTTGATGAAATTATGGATATTAGTCTTGATATTTTGAATAGTGGTTCACTTAAAGAAGCTATGCACAAGTTTTTTCAGCCTGAGGTTTTGGATGGAAATAATAAGTACAAGTGTGACAAGTAAGTTCATGTTTCAATTTGATTGAATTATTAGTATTATTTTTGCTTAGCTATGGTTTTATTGTTACTTTTGCAACTTGGGTGTTTTGCTTTCAAGTTAGAATAACAAACAAACAATTATTTTGGAGAATATTGCATTTCATGTTGTTTACTTTTTACCCTTTAAGAATCCATTTAAGCAGAATACAAACAGGAAAAGTAGTGCCAAAAGTAACAATAAAATGGTGCCTTGTTTTTTTGGTGCATTGTTGTTTGCTTTTGTTACATGCTTGAACTTTGGTGAAATAGGACAGGAAGGAAAAGAACTGAAAAAAATAGTAATATAGTGTTTCTAGAGAACGAAATTTTACTGCCGTTTGTGGTGTTTCTAGTGAACATAATCAAGGCTTTGGATGGAAAAAATGAGTACAAGCCTGAGAAGTAAGTTCATATTTCAATTAATTGCATTACATGGATATTATTTTGTTTGGCTATGATTTAATTGTTGCTTTTGCGTCTTGCTTTTTGGCTTTCCAGTTAGAATAACAACCAATATTACTTCTGAAAAGAACAACTTTTTACCCGTTATTAACCATTCAGGAATCAGAAAACAAATAGGAAAAAATAAATGATTTTCAGAAGTAACAATGAAATGGGTCTTGTTTATGTATTGTTGTTTGCTTTTGTTTAATGCTTTTACTTCGGAAGAATAGGATAGGGATGAGAAGAACTTAAAAACTAGTAATATAGTGTTTCTAGATAACAAAATTTTATTGTTGTATGTAGTGTTTCTAGTGAGTTTGTAACTTTTTATCCAAAGTTTTGACTTTATTTTGGCTCTTTAGGAGGAAAAAACAAATAGCAAAATGCAAGAGAGAGAAACAAACTGAATTGAGCCTAGTTAAATACTTTGCTTGTAATTTTATTTATTTATTTTGTTTTGAATGAGAAACTTCCGGTTGTTTAGTTGTAAGAAATTGGTGGCAGCAAGGAAGCAACTGTCTATACGTCAGGCACCAAATATCCTTGTTATTCAATTGAAGGTCAGACACAGAATTTCATTAATGTTTCCATTCTGATTTTACTTTTGCTTATGTTAGTCTTTATTATTATTATTATTATTATTATTTGTGGAGTAAGTGAATGATTGTTAGATTGTTATGGCAGAGATTTGAGGGAATACTTGGTGCGAAGATTGATAGGCTAATTACATTTGATGAAGTTTTGGTTCTTTCAAGCTTCATGTCCAAAGCAAGCCAGGTTTGTTAAGTTGTTAATTTTACTGCGCGGTCGGTAAAAGTTACAGTTGCAGGCTTGCAGCATTCTACGGATTCTAGAATCCAAGTTTGATTTTGTGGATGATAACGATATAGTAAGAGTTACAAGTCAAATATTTTTTTTTTGAAAAGAACAGGTCAAATAATAATATTTCTAGATGAGATGTTATAAATGAATTCCTTGCGAATAATTTATTTCCTGGGACAAGTTAATTGCTTGCTGCTGTCAGAGTTCTGTAGATGTCATATTAGTATTACATTTTATGAGCTTTCCTTTTGCTTGTGTAGAGTAGCTATGAACCTGCCTTGTGTTTATTTTACTAAATGATTGGGGGAAATTATAGTATCTTAATGTGTTTGCTAGCAATGCTTATCTTTTGGAATTTCTAGGATAATAATGTGCTTGAATATCTCAGCTATCTGTCATATATAACAGGGTATGATTTTTGGGTTAGTACTCTCTGTGAGTGAGTGGGTCTATGAAATAAATATTACATTTACTTCAATCATGTCATTGGTTTGCTAGCAATGTTGAATAAGTCTGGCAGCATTACCCTAGAGGAAGGAGAGTGAATGTTAGTGATTGACAAGGATTACATGATTTGGTTGTTGAAGTTTATGCATGGTTCTACCAATTGAATTTAATGCATTCAAAAGCATTTTCTTTATTATCCTGCACAAAGTAATCTTTTCTACTGGTTGTATTCCGTATATCCTATATTACTTTTTTCTTTTTTTTCTTTTGTGATTTTGTTGGTATTTTCAATGCAGGATCCACAGCCAGTGTATAACCTATTTGGTACAATTGTGCACTCAGGATATTCACCAGAATCTGGGCATTATTATGCATATATTAAGGTGCTTATGTTCTCCTGTGTCTTCAATGCCACCGATGTTGAGTAGTTTCTGACATTAGTTCTCTATTTGTAAAGGATGCAATGGGCAGGTGGTATTGCTGCAATGACACCTTTGTCTCACTTTCAACCTTACAGGAGGTCTTGTCTGAGAAGGTTTATATTCTTTTCTTCTCTCGTGCTAACCAAAGGACAGGGTCTCACGGGACCACTGTTTCTTCTAATGGAGTTAAACAACATGATTCTAATGGAAGTGAGGCATCCAAAATCCTGAAAGCGGTTCAATTGAAACCAGTCCAAACAAAACCTTGTGTTGAGCAATCTTCACAGAAGGTTGGAAAATTGTCTTCTAGCCCTCGTGTGAAATTCAATATTTCTGAAAAGCCTGGTCCCAGAAAGCTTCCCCTTACGAGTAATGGAAAAGTTGATTTCCATAAGACTCAGACCATTGCTGTGAATGGAGTTTCAATGGATTCAATTCGTATGGAGAAGAATGGGAAAGACACTTTGTCATCGATGAACAGGAATTGTACAGACAAAATTGGAAAAGTTGATGTTGTTGCTGGTGGAAATAACCAACAATTTGCATGGTCCAATGGAAATAAACCAGATTCTTTTGTAGTTAATGGTACCAGGAGCATGGCGGTCAGAGGGCAGATTGATACTACGCTTTCTGATGCCTCTGATAACTTGGGGCAAAAGAAAAGTTCAGAAAACTCTTGTGCTATTTCAGTACCGAAGATAAAATCTGAAGATTCTTATGATATTTTAGGGACAAAGCATAAATCCGAAGATTCTTCTGATGTCTCAGGGGCAAAGAGAAAATATGAAAATTCCTGTAATTTCTCGGGGACGAAGAGAATATCTGAATATTCCTGTAATTTACCAGGGTCAAAAAGAAAATCTGATGACTCATTTGATAACTCAGTTCCAATGACAAAGCCGAAAGACTCCTCTTTTAACGTAAGGGGGAACATAAAATTTAAAGACTCGTGTAATCACTCAGGGCTAAAGGAAACAGAAGGCATTGGTGATTTCTCGATGCTAAAGGGAAAATCCTGTGTTTTGCTTTCCCAGGATGCCCAATCTCGAGCAGAAGTTGAAAAGATGAAAGAAATGTAAGCTACCTTTTTATCTCAATTACTCTAGGTATGCCTTTTATCTAGACGTTGCATGTTCTATGTGACGTAAGAGGGTCTCTTTCTTTTAATATATATATATATATTTTGTGGGTTTTCATTCCTGACATGTCTTTGAATTGTGAGTTCAATTAGTTCCAACTAGGGTGTTTTGCTTTACCACATTTGGCTGTAGTTATCCAGCTCGAACTTGTCGAAGTTTTGTAGGACTCCTATACTATCCTGGGGTTGTGTTTTAACTTCATCAGAAGTTGTGTTTTTATTCATCTTAATATATATTTTTTTAATTTTTTTACATGTTTGATTCCGATATAAATTTACCAGGTTGAAAAACAAAGCTTCTTCAGTTTTGCGATCTTGTGGCTGGTATGTTGATGTTTACAATTTCATGCATTCAAAGAAGCAGTCATATGCACAGGAGACTGGAAGCACCCAGAGTGATAATGATTTAGAGTAAGCCTTTCTTATACTGTTAAGTAACTTTCTTATATGTGCAAATTTAATTCTATGTGCACTTCAAGTATGCTTGATTTTCTTTAGGAATTTATTTGCTTTGTTGTGGCTAGTTTTTGATGCATTTAAGTTGCAGTAGATTTCCCGTCTAAATTAGTTACAAGGAAAGGATGGAGTTTCTTTTTTTGAATAACCCATGCTGATTGGATTTGGCGTAAATAGCTTGAGTAAAGAAATTGGTAGTCAAAGTAGAGAAGTCAAAATGTGTCATGAACCAATTTTAGGTACTCTTCCCTTAGGATATTCCAAGGAAAACTCGGAACAAAATGACCATATTCGCATTCGACACTCAACACCCGATTTTGAGTAACATAGGTTTCTAATGCATTTCATTTATTTCATTAAAGTATTAAAAAAGGCTTTTATTTTCTTTCCTTTGCTAGATGCACTATCCAAATCTCATATATTTATTCTATCAAAAAAAAAATCTCGTATATTTTCATATTCGTTTTTTCTACTGAAATTTTCATACTGAACACTCAAGTTTAACGTGTAATTTACATTGTTGATCATGGAACTTCAACTTTCATTTAGATCACAAACCTTTAGTTCAATCAAATTAGATCATTCAACTTTTATTATTAATAAAGTAAGTCACTTCTACTAATATCCTTAAATAGTTCTAACAAAAAAATTAAATTGACACTTTAACCTAACATGTTTTTCACATATCATTGTCAAATAACGTTTAATTGATAATTTAAATAATTTCTGTGAGAATTTTCTCAAACATTTCATTCAAGTAAATCCAAAGGAAAAAGAACATTATTTGATGACGATATGTGTAAAACATGTTAAGTGAAGATGTCGATTTAAGTTTAGAATTGTTTAACGGTGTTAGTATAAGTTCCATGATCTAGAATGTAAAATTATCCCATGTTCTGAATGTTTTTATGGAAATATGACTTTTTAAAGACCTTCTACATGCATGAAAAAGGGCGTGTACTTGAATTCCAAATTTGAGTAACATGGCTTTATCGTCATTATTTTGTTTCATAAATAGAACTTTGGTTCATTCCTTAACTACTTTTATGCAGGAAGAAGCTGATTGCAGATGCAAAGCCAACCTTTATTCCACAAATACCCGAGTCACTGAAGGAGGAATTAATTAAACATCTCCAATCTTTCAGCCAAACAAACCGAGAATCTCCAGATCCTTGACTGGTAATGTGACAATTAACTTTTAAATATGCAGTATTCTTTTATTAGAATTCTGGTAATTATTGATGCGATGAACTTGGCTAACAACTTCCATTCTTGCCAATGCTTTCCGCAGTCGTGGTGTATAATCTGTATTTTAGATTGGTATTGTAGCGAAAGAACATTAATCGGCGTACATTAGTCCTCTCTTTGAGCAACTTCCAGCGATGCCTGTCGTTTTCCCGATGCCCGAGTTCAAATATTGCCGGAAGACTCAACAACTCGAAGTCGATTTTTCTTTTTCCGGCAAAGAAGGAATCTTTAATTCATTTTGTAAGATATGCATTTTTGGGGAACACAAATTATTAGCGTTAAAATCTTGATTTTTCATGGATGCATAAATGACAATTTTCCCATAAAAATTGTGGTGTCTATAATGAAAGCTATGAAATTGAGTTATCATTTGAGTAAAGATGAATCTTAGGGGGCGTTTGGTTCGCACAAAAAACCATTGTTTGGTTTATGGAAAAGAATCAAAAGATCATTGTAAGGTAATAATTTATTACCAGAAGTAGTTTAGTGTTAAATGATGAAAATGTTATTACCTTTAAATTTTTGTAATTTTGGATAAAGGTAATCTTGAAAAATAAATTATTTTCATATTGATCATTATTTATTCTCATTCTTAATGTTTTATTCAAAATTACAAATATACTAATAATATTATACGAGTTTAATTTAATAAAATATTAATAAATTAAAATTTAATATTTTCAATATTTAATATACTATTCATTTTTAATTTGAAGAGGTTAAAAATAATATTAATATAAAAACGTACTTATTTTAAATAATATTTAACGTTAAATTATAAAAAATGAGTAGTTTTATATATTAGAAAATAATATCTTTGTCATTTAAGATCACAATATTATTTTTTATATTATATTATATTTTGAAAAAAATAATTAGATAATAAAATAAAATAATAGTTGATGTCTAGATGTATAGTTTATCTTATTTTTTACATCAGTGCTTATAGAGAGAGTAAACTACATGTTTGACAACTGAATTTTATTTTTCTCCCTATTTCGATCATTGTAGTTTTTAGGGTTATAAATGAGAGAAGACAGATCGTGTGACGAGCTCGACTCGAGTTCTTAATGAGCCGAAACGAGTTACTTGATATTTGAGTTGAAAGGCTCGCAAGCAGTTTGAAAATATTAAGATTTTAAAAAATAAATCATTAATAATATTAATATTTATACGTTTATTTTTTTAAATCTAGTATAAGATTTTCATATATTTAAGGTTTAAATTCAAGTTTGAGGTTTCAATTGAGTTAAGTTTAAGATTTTTTTTTTTCATTTTGAGCTTTTACGAGCTTCAATTCATGATTTCGAGTTCGAATATTATAAATAGAGAGATATTATAATAATTGTTATGTGCATTACCCTTGCAAATGAATAAAAAAGAAGAAAAACTCCAACTCTAGGGTTGTGCATAGTAAGGAATCATTTAGATTATAGGGTACACTATCCCAAATGTCATTGATCTTTGGTTTGAAATCATTTAGAATATAGGGTAAACTATCCTAAATGTCATTGATCTTTGGTTTAAATTTAAAACGTTCCAAATTTAAATTGAACTTTAATTTTGGTTTCAATGTAAATATATGAGAAACTAAAGTTAAAAGTTTAAAGGTAAATCGTTTTAAAATTTAATGACAAAATCGAAACACAACCTAAAATTAACAGGAAAGAAAACATTACCATACAAACCATAAAGTTTAATGACATTTGAGTGTTTAATCTAAATTATAAACAAATAAAATTTAAGATTTGTTCAGGTAAGATCCTTAACACCTCTGTTAATACATTCTTGGAAGTCAAGGAAGCAACTGTATCTCTAATATCTGCATATATAAATAAAACAAATGATTATTGAAACGCTAAATATCAAAGAAAATTACCTAAAAATTAGTTGTTGATTTTGGAGTTTGAACTCATTCGCGTAGAATTGGAGCTTCGAATCGAACTTTTTATCCGCTTTAGAAGAAGAATCTGGTCTGCTAGAAACAAAGGAAGGAAGTCATAAAATTGCATAAACCCCATGAATTTACACTGAAAAAGAAAAAGAAAATACAGCATACTCGCCGAGAGCTTGGTTTCCCCATATTTGAATAAATTCTTAAGGTTTAATTCTTGGAACGAAGGAAACCCAAGCTAGAGTTTTGGGAGGATTGGATTATAGATACACAAAGAAGGCAGCAGAACAAACACAGAACTAAAATTCAGGAATGAGAAACTCAGTTTACAACGAGAAACAATGGATTTTCCTTTGAGGTTTCAGCCTTCTTTCAAGCCTGAGAAAGTTTATGGGTTTTACAGAGATTATAGGCGCTCAATTATTAATCTTCCATACTCAACCTAGTCAAATGTGCGGGCTTTAATTTTGACTATAACTCTGCACTCCCACAAAACCTTCAGCTTCACACATCACAAGAAAAAAAAAACCCAGGAAAGCCATATTTGATTTGTAAACCTTCGAATCTGTACGAGGTTTCTCAGAGATGGAGAATGAGGAGGTTGTTCTGTTGGATTTCTGGGCAAGTCCCTTCGGGACGAGAGCCAGGTTCGCTTTGGCTTTGAAAGAGATAAACTACGAGCACAGGGAAGAAGATTTGAGCAACAAGAGTGATTTTCTTTTGAAAACCAACCCGGTGCATAAGCAAATCCCGGTTCTCATCCACGAGGAGAAACCCGTCTGCGAGTCGCTCGTTGTGGTTGAGTATATTGATGAGATTTGGCCTCACAAATCTCCTCTGCTCCCTCTTGATCCTTACCAAAGAGCCACTGCTAGATTCTGGGCTGATTTCATCGAAAAGAAGGTATTTCTCTTTTCAATTCTCAGCTTTCAGTCTTCATAGGTAACCCCGTTTGTTTGTTTTCCACGCACAAATCATTGAATCAAATAATAAAACGGTTGAACTTGTGCCTTTTGGTGAATGAAATGCAGATATGTAGTCTCGAGACCAGGAAAGTATGGACAGGAAAGGGTGAAGAGCAAGAAGCAGCAAAGAAAGTGTTCGTCGAGGGCTTGAAACTGCTGGAAGGAGAGCTCGGAAACAAGGCTTATTTCGGCGGCAAAAATATCGGTTATGTCGATGTCGTGTTGGTTCCGATGTATAGCTGGTTTTATACCTACGAAAAGTGTGGGAATTTCAGCTTCGAAACCGAATGTCCGAAGCTGGCTGCTTGGGCTAGAAGGTGCATGGAGCTAGAGAGTGTTTCCAAGTCCCTGCCTGATCAAGAGAAAATCTACGAGTATGCTTTGCAATTGAAGAAAAGGTTCGGTTTTGAGTAAAGTTTAAGACAAGAGCAAGAGCATGTTATTAACTATGTTTTGAAATAAATGAGGGCACTTAGTTGTGCTTTGGGATGCTGATTTGGTACTTGTTTTTATGTTCCCTAATTTTGGATTTCATCTAGCACATATCCAATCTCTGCCTGTGATCACATTGCACCGAATCCATTCGGATGAACTCCTCCATTAATTCCGATTTAACGATCTCATTCTATGCCGACCGAGCGATCACACATTCGTGGAAAATATGCGATGCAAACTTCGTATCAGCACCGCCGCGTTTGTCATAAGGCGATCCCTACAGGTTAACCATAACAGCGTCCTCACTCGTGGCATCACACGGTTGCGACTCTGTCTCTCCTCAACGTTGATAAGCACTCTTTGTCGAGAAAACGACTTTAAAATCTAATGTCAACTAGAATTAAAACGACTTTTCTTATTAGTACCCCACAAAGGGTAAGCTTTAACTTATGCTTTAATTGTTACATACCCTATGTACAACTCTATAAATGAAATCATAAACAGGATAATATATATGATTCTCAAAGAAATGAAACCACCTTCTCCAGTAAGGATTCACATAGAGAATTATTATGGAAGTAAGAAAGAAAATGATGCATGTTATGCTCAAAGTCACGTAGAAGACTATAGCATCAATGCCATACCATTTCTCCTTTGATCCACAGATTTCATCAGAGGATGTGGTGATTCGGTGCTGTAGTTTTGGTTCAATGGCTGTCCACAGAGAAATCGAATCCCTTCGTAACAGCTGCGATCGAAAGTCCCTAATTGAGCTTTCGTATCCGAGATTTTACCCGACAAGTTGTTGTAGGCCACACTGAACACTTCGAGGAAGTATAGATTGATCAGAGACGAAGGGATTTCTCCGCTCAAAGCATTGTGGGAGAGGTCTAAGCTTTTGATTTGGGTGAGATTGGAGAAAGATTTCGGGATCGGTCCGGCGAACATGTTGTAGGACAAGTTCAGTGCGTGGATCCAGGATAGATTTCCGATAGCGTTCAGGATCCGACCAGAGAGATTGTTACATGGCAGATCTAAACCCGATATGAAATTTAGAATACTACCTTTGTAGGTGCTTGATCTATGTTTCGTCAAGAAATCAACTTCCACATGTGTGACAGATTGTTCAGCAGTGCTATGGAGCTTGTATCCCTTCTTTAAAGTTTCATATCTGAAATATGTGGTGCAATCCCATTCATTAGAAACTTTTTCATGTGAAATGTCGAAATACCGAGGCTCGATCTTTCCAAAGCCGATATCCTGGAAACAGGAGGGAATTGACCCGAAGAAGGAGTTGATGGAAAGATCCATCATGCTTATTTGTTTCAATCGACACAATTCCTCCGGAATCAAACCGGTCAGGCGATTCTGGCTCAACAGCAGAACTCTCAAGCTACTCAGCGAGCCGATCATATCGGGAACGGTCCCGGAGAGGTCGTTATCTTTGAAGTTCAACACCAAAAGTTGTGTAGTATTGAGAAAAGCATCTGATATTGATCATAAATGCTGCAACCCAGAGCATATAGGCAGTGGACCGGAAAAGTGATAATGAGACAGGTCTAAATAATACAAAGATCGAGAAACGCCTTCGCACTCGAACCGACCCTCGAAATAATTGTTCCGCATCACAAGTATGTCCAGATATGTCACATTACCGATCCAGCTACCGATGTTCCCCGTCATGAAGTTGTAACCAATGTCTAACAAATAAAGACTTCCTAGTACCCTTCCTTCTGGTCTCACATTCGACATATTCCCACTGAAGTAATTGTCCTTCAACTGCAGCACTCCTAATTGACTCAAATCTGTCCATGAAGTTCGTTACCAGATAATATCAGAACGCGTAAATCACCGCAGCCAGCGATCAGTTCTTCGGGAATTTCTCCAGAGAAATTATTATAAGACAAGTCCAGAACTTGCAAATTTCGCATGTCACCAACGGAGGGCAATAAGTCTTGATCGAAAGCATTTCTCAACAATAATTATTATACTCGTGTAATTATATCCAAAAGAAAGGATCGTTTAGAAATAATTATATTATTCAGAAGTATTATTGTCCAAATGGGAATGAATTGTCTAATAAATAATGGATTCCGGTGAATTCAAGGTAAAAAAAAACACTGTTGGTAACGTTTCATTACGTCATGATGGAAATGCCTTTGAACCATATGTGATTTCGGAAAATACTATTCCCCTAATAATGAATTTTTCCTTGATCCAAACATCCTCTTACAGTCTCCTATTCGTTTTTCACTTAAATTCGTAATATTAAAGTAAAAAATTATCTTGTTGATGTTAGAAATGTATTTGGTGGCTTTTGATTAGATGAGTTGTGTGAGCCCTACAAGCACAAATGTAAGAAAGAAAATTGGTTATATGGTGAATTAAAATAAATATTTTAAATATTATTATTTTTAGATGGAACAAAAGATCAAGTCCAGTCAATGTACAAATCAGTCATTATAAATGTTGAAAATATATTGCAACGTAACATAAATTCTCCTCAGCGCTGTTTTGTGTGAATATTTCGAAGTTGAGTATTGGGCAGTAGAATTTTTCGATGCAATAACTTTGAAAGAGGAAACAAATGGAAAGTGGTCAAGTGTCGGACTGGGTCCACTCCTACCGTGGGTCTGTAATAGCATGACTTAGCGGGAATTGGCGTTCGCCTCATTCTCAAACTCATTTCAAGGCCTTATCGCCCCCACTCTGCACTAAAGTCGGATTTCATTGACTATGGTGTTTTGAGCCGATCCCAAGTCTATTAAATTTTCAAATTAAATATGATTTGTGTTTACGTCAAATTTATCCCAAATTGGACTTTTATTTGAAAAGTTACTCGTTTTGTATTATTTTTTTTATTAGTGGTTATTTTTGTTCACGTAATAGATTTAATTTATCCCAAATTATTGTTGTTTCTAAATATCACAAGTTCAAATATTAACAGTTACGGTAGGGTGATTGAGTACTTATTTTTAAAATTGATGAGAGTATTTAGAATAAATATTACTTTATAAACACCTTAACTTAATAAAAAAAATTGTAATCTACCGATTTAAACTACCCTTCGTGTACTACAATCCATTACTGTATTTAAGGTTTGGTCTCCATAACAACTTGACGTAAATAATGCACCCTATAACGTTGGATTAAGTATTCTTAATTAATGGAACACCCTTTTTTGAGTAATATGCATGGTTTTCAGAATCAGATCGGTTAGCGAATCGGTCATACTATCGATTCACTGGTTCAACCGGTTGAACCGGTCCGACCGGTCGGAAGAATCGGACGACGTCATAATTATTTAAAAAATTAAATAAAAATACCAAAAATATTTAATAAAAAATAATTTTTTATATCACAAGTCATATTCAAAGCAAGTCATAACATATATAAGTTAAAAACCATAAAATCAAGTGAAACAAAATGATTAAAATTAACTACAACATAATATTTAATGTAAAACATATTAAATAATAAATATAATTATATAACTATAATTAAAAAATAAATTTGGGGTTAAAAAAATCATAACAAAATTATATAACTATAATTATATAACTATTTTTTCACTTCAATCAAACTGGTCCGGTTTGAACGGTTCAACGGTTCTGGCCGGTTCACTAATAGCGGTTCAACCGGTTTAGATTGAACCGGATTAAGCAACGGTTCCCGGTTGAACCGGCCGGTCCGGTCCGATTTTCAAAACAGAGGTAATATGTCACTGTATTATGACTAAATTTATAACTGGATTATAATATTTCAACAAATCACATTCCGATCACTCTAATTCAGAAAAATATTATTGATTGGATTAATATAAATAGGATAAAAATGTATAAAATAACTTATATATATTTTTTTATCTCTATAAAATAACCTTGTTACAAAGCAAACAAGGTTAAACAAAGCTTTATTCTATAGCCCTCCTATCTTTGTCAAGCAGTCTATGTATCCCTTCAAGAGCTTGTTGGAGTATGCAGAGCCCCGGGTTACAGGAGCGGCCAAGATGAACCAGCGAGTCTGCCACCTTATTTTTTCACGTGTGATGTAAAAGATCTTCACCCTCCATTGACGATTCAGTAGGGTCCTGGTTCTACGAGCAATCGAGGGGTCATAATAGTTGGGGGACTGTTGGGAGTTCTCACAGCTTCGATGTTATCAGTTTCAACCTCGATGCTTCTAGCTCCTCTGTCCCAAGCTAAGGACAGTCCATCCATGATCGCCCAAAGCTTAGCGTGGAGGACGGAACAACGGCCGATGTTCCGAATAAATCCCGAATACCAACTTCCACCTCCTCCAAATCAAAATTCTTTATATCATACATACCTTCAAAGTTCATGCATATATTTAGGGATTATTTCTATATATATATATATAGCCTAATCAAAAACTACAGCAGGCGATGAGCCAATCCCCAACGTATTAGCCTGACAATATCAGAGCTTCTAAAAGATTCAAACCCAAACACTTAAAAGAAATAAACCAGAACTCGAGTTATATCATGCAAATATGAATTATATTATGCAATGACCTTCCACGAATAAGTGTAGCAAAATTGATAACAAAACAGACTATCAGACTTAAAACAAGCCATGAGTTATATTATGCAAATATGAATTGTGGATTTCTATATTTTAACATCCAAAATTGAGAAAGCCACGGCGCAATCCATGGGGTTTAGGAAAATTAAAAAGATCTTTAAGGGGCCTAGTCTTCTTGTTTACTAGCTTAACTTTTTACCAGTTCCACTACTTCCACAATAATATTATATAAATTCTACAAGTATGGATACCAACCATCAATGCCAAATCCGGGTATATATTAATGTTTGATAATTTAAACTAATACAATAGAATTAAAGTTAATTTAAATACAACCTCTATAAAACCCATTATTTACACACTGAAGGGATCAAAACCAAACTCTACAACTGACTTGAGCTCATCCCAGTTTGCATGAGTGAAGAAATCATTATTTTCTGGACAATTTGTATGGCTCGAAGATGATGCCATTGATGAAGTTTGAGCCAAGCTGCTCAATTGCTCTGCATGCCATTGGTTTCTTCCACTGATAGCTCCGAAAACCGGCTTCTCGTCGCAGCTTCGAGCAACCGAAGAGCCGAAGGCGATGTAATTCTCGTGAGTGTCGGATCCCAGACTGCGGATTTGAGCACTCGGTGTGGCACTCGAACTGCGTTTCGCTGCAATTTCTCTCCAGTCCGGTGTGTATTTCCTTTGCGATGCGTTCCGCTTGAATATTCGACAAATAGTCCACACTTCCTGCAATGATAGCAACGAAGTATACATCAAACAAGTTTGTACCTAAAACCCTACGTGATAATAAAGATGAGTGACAATGTGGGAGATTGTTATTATTTCTAGAGGTGTCGGATTTAAATAATTGTATTTGTATGGTGTACGTGTATGTGAAAACAGTATGTTCCGAATAGTAAAGGTAATGCTTTTTTTTTTTGTTTCTCACAGCTTCTAGTGGAGGAGATTTGGGATCGGAAAGACCGGCGTCGTTGGGAAGGCGAAACTCATGCATCATCCAATCGGTTTTGGTGCCCTTCCCTGCAGTTCCACGGTAGTACACTAACGTTTTCTTTAGCCCGATGCAGGCTTGAAGATGACCGGACGATCCTCGACGATCTCGGTGCGAATAAACCGGCTTGTCGATGCCCGTAGCTTTCCAAAATCCGGACCCCGTCACTCTGTTTGGTCTAATGCTGTTTTTGTACTTTCTTCCTCGTCTGCAGAAGAAATACGAGTCACCGTCTCCCACGGAACCGCTGGTCTCTGCTTCATTAATCATCAAACATATTAAAGAGAGAGTAATCATTAGCTTCAAGAACTTGAAGTATTTTTGCCAGGAAACAAACAGTTTTGAAAGAAAACCCTAGAATGTTTTGTTTATCAATCTTTCAAAACAAAACCCGAACCGATTTCCCATACTGAAAAATCAAAGACCAAGATCATTGAACATACTTGGGAGATCCCATGGATCGAATTTGTAGATATCGATCTGTGCGATAAGCTCGATTCTGAGGGGTGTATTGTCGACTTTTCGTCGGAGATAAAACCCTAAGAGCTCTTCATCTGTAGGATGAAACCGAAACCCAGGAAGTGGAACATCTTCTTCTTCTTCTTCCTTGTTATGATCAGCAGAAGAAGCTTGGACGACGTCGTTCATCATCTTCATTCAATCTTTTTTTTTTCAAGCTCTGTTGATGCCAAGTACAGCACAGATTTTGAAGAAACAAAATGGATTTTGATTGACTTTGTTGGGTGAATTGCATGAATCGGCAAACGATACAACGAAAGCTATCTTTGAATACTGTGGAACCTTCTTAAATAATGTCAAATTTGGAGTCATTCTGAATATTAAATATTGTTGTTCAGGTCAAGTCAAATTATTGACTTTGGGCCAAAAGAGAGAGCCTAGCTTTTAGAAAGAGTCTTTCTTACAAGTTTCAAATACTCGTTAGGGTAAATATCTAATTAATAAGGGATAAATGTCTTTGCTTTTATGGTGGAATTATACCTTTTATCCGTATAAGATATTAATGATTTTGGTAAAGTAATCTTGTACATTGAATCTATTGATGAGACGCGGTGATAAAATGAAGTATTATTTTTTCGTGATTTACCGATGTGGATTATGTTGTTAGTGGTATTTTAGGGTAGACCTTTATAATTTAATAATGTCGGGATCACGTAATTTTATTAATTTAAAGAAGTACTAATTAATTGATAAATTAATAATTTATTAATTTAAATATTTTTTTTCAATTCAATACATATTGTGTTGAGTAATTGAATGATGTTCATGTAATGTGACTAATTAAATAAATTTATGTAAATATATAATATTTAAAGGTTATTAATTTGTTGAGTATATATTTGTAGCGGTTCTAACTTTGTCGTTGTTATTTCTCTAAAAGACATATGTTCAAGTAGTTGCGTCTTAAAGTAATAGTTTTATGTTACAAAAATCAAAGTAAAAAATTATAAAAAAACTATCTACATGATACGTGTGTTACATATCATAGGTACACGTTAAATATTGATTTAGTATGCCACATCCCAACCCTAAGGCAAGTCTTTCGGAACGTTCAATGGTGTGTGAGGTCGCCCCTTGTACTGACAAGGAAAGGACATAAGCAAAATAAAAAAAATAGGGAAAATGTTAAAAATTAGCTTTCACATACGGAATTGAAGGTGGAGCAAGTCCTTGTTTGCAAACTAGAATTATTCGGGCCTGGTTTTGAAAAAAAGGGAAAATGTTAAAAATTAGCTTTCAGAATAAATTAATTATTGACTTTATCGTAATGCATAAATCAAAGTAATATAATGACAACCGATCGAATGAGTGGATGACATGATGCATGAATTAGTTTGATAAACTTTTTAATTGAAAAGTAATATAATGACAACCGATCGAATGAGTGGATGACATGATGCATGAATTAGTTTGATAAACTTTTTAATTGAATTTTTGTAATTCAATATCTATTATATTGAATACTTTAATCGATGAAAATTTATTTAAAATTGGGTTTAAAAAGATATAAAAAAAAGACTTGCATCCAACCTGAGGCAAACATATATAGTTTTTATTTTTATTCAGTAAACTAATGACTTAATTAAAAATATATAGAGACATTATTTGATAATTATATTATTGTCTCGGATCGGGTCGAGGATTTTGCACCCTAAATTCAAATTCATTTTTGATCTGATCTTATTTTTCAAAGATTCGATCTAACCTAGATTTTAAAAAATTAATATTATAAAATCAGATCAGATCAAAACCTGCTAAATTCGAATTCTATATTTATCCCTGGTTTATGTTATAAAAAGTGCAGACATTTGAGCTTAAGAGAGTATTAATATAATAGAAAAAGTAAAGACAAGTTCCCATATCTAAGGGAAATATTCAAAGAGTTGTGTAGGTATATACTTATTGGAGTAAGATGAGACGCCTATAAAATATTTGTACCAAAGACTTGACTTGCCGGCGCCCTCCCTATTTTGTTGGGTGGTACTTTTCTACCATGTAAATCCAATATTAAGTTTCTTTATTCAAATAAGCCCTTTATTATTTGACTTTCATTCATGGAAGTCCTCGAATTTGTGTATTAACTTCTCGCCTGAATAAAATTATAGAATCTTACAAACCCAAATCTCGCCTGAAAGTTCTAAATTATATGTACCGTGGACCTTGAATTTTGTTCAAATTCAAAATCACATGTTCCGATGATTTATAATTCTAGAATTCTTATTAATATTAACAAATAACATGATACTTATTATATTATTTCGTCATTTTACGTGCCGTATGAGAACTGGGAAAAAGAAAGTATGCATAACGCATGTATGGAAAATTCATATACAAAACAAAGCCATCTATATCGTATGAATCGAGTGATCTTAGTAGTTAAAAATGTATTATTATTTTTTGAGATTTTGGATTCGAACACGACATTTATAGAGATATGAACATTCATTGTTAAATTATAAAAAAGTCTTTCGAACAGATACAATCCCTTCTATTCATCTCAAATTAATAAAAAAAATTAAACCTATATCAGTATTGATTATTGTAATTTTAATCGTCGGTTAATAAAAAGGTAGGAATTTCTTAAAACATTTACTTGATGTCTTTCTTTCTTTTAATCAAACTAAAACTTTTATTAATCGTGTATATGATTAAATATACTTAAATCTATATCTTCTAAGTTCTTTACGTTAGGTCAGCCCTAAAAGATAGGTATGCCCTGTATTATTTTTCAAAACGAGACCTTTAAATATATTATAATAAGAATTAATTTGTCAAATTTTATCATAGAAAATAATAAAAGATACTGTCAAAATATTCGTTTGACGTTTTATCTGTCCTCTTTCCCAGAACCAAACGAAAAGTTTGTTTTTCTTTTGATATGCTAACCAAATTATGCTAGCTAGGGTGCGATCCTTTAAAATTTAAGAAGGGGACGGATTTATAAAATTCAGGAGGACAAAAATAAAATTTTCAATAGAAAATACATAAAAAAATAAAATATATGATAATTTTAAAATTCCAGAGGACGACTACACCATCCGCCCCCTTCGATCTATCTCTATGTGCATGACCAAACCTATATGATATTCATGTCTGAACCTCCAAGTTTAGAGACATTGTGACATGTCACAGAATAAACATACAATTGGACGGTTTACTTTAAATAAGATCAAAGGTTTATTCTCTAGTCAAGTTAATGTAATTTAATGAGTTTAAAAGTCAAATTGATACAATTAAAATGTATGAACAAATTTATTGATTTAAATTTACTACGAGGACAAATTTATCCCTTAAGCCTAAATAAAACAACTAAAACTCTTGCTACTTAAAGATCAAACACATAATTAATAAATTTATATACAAATCCTTTACAATTTCACCTATAATTATTTCTTGAATAAATTCCATTAAAATATTTAATTATATAAATAGTTATGTTCACTCTCATAATGTGTGACAAAATCTAAAGACCACTTAAATTATTTTATTTTTCTTTTATTAAAGATGAAATACTTAAGATACAATTGAGTACCTAAATTAGTGTATATATATTTTAAATATTACACATTTGGTACTTGAATATAACATTACAACATGTCAAATCATTCAGACACTAAATCTGTTTATAAAAAAACAAGTATCATTATACCATATCTGATTTTGACAAGTACAATTACCAAATTGAATAAAAGTGCAGGTATTCGATTTGTAAAATGAAATTTAAACATTAAATCATATATAAAATCAAGATGAAAATAATTTAAACATAATAAAAAATTAAAAAATATATATCAAAATATATTAAAAGCCAAAATTTATAAAATATAAACGATTTTATAGAAATGTATTCAAATATATAATAACTTTTAAGTTGTTTTATAAGTAAAGGGCCAACGACAAATAGACTTAGAAAATTCATAAAAATCAATTGAATTTTGAATAAAAGGTTAGGTGAATTTGTCGTCAAAACCACAGACCACTTTATCTCTAACGTAAACTTTGTCCTTTTTTTATGGAAGTTATCTCTTATGCAAATTATTAATTGACACATTTTATTGGGTAAGGGGAGGTATGATAGTAGGATGCCCCCAACGTCAGGTTGAGAGCAATTTCCGTGGGAAGCCTCCGAATTATGAAATACCTTTCGTGAGACTCGATCCCACGACCACAAGGTTAAGAGCCTTGTGCTCTACCAACTGAGCTGGATAAAATTGATCCAATAAGTTACATAGATAAAAATATGATTTATTAGGTAATTTTTAAAATTAATTTGGGATATACGATATTTATGTCATGATCGAAGAAGTAGAAGGAAACGGAGAGGAAGAGGTTCGTTGCGAAAAGAGACAATTGGGAATTGTTAATCAAGGGTTAGGGATTGTGGATACTGAATGGGAAATTGGAACTCACATTTATGTGATGAATTTGAATAAAAAATAATATTTAGACAAACTCATCATGTGAACGTTACGATTTTTCTCTGCAATGTAGCGTTTGTCGTAGATCCTAAATTAATTTTGTACATAGCCTAATGAGCTAATTCTTCTACCCGCTCGACTTATTAGGCCAGTTTTGCTGAAAATTTTCTATAAAACTTAACAATTCTATGATCGGCCCGAATGACAGCCCATATATATAATTTTCTTCCGCCTTGCTTAGTTTTGGTCCAATTTAGTTTAACATTTGAAATTATTATTTATTAAAAATAAAAATAAATAAATTATACTTAAATTCAATCTCAATTAGAATTAAAGTTCAATTATTTTTAATTATATTGATTCATTAAACTGTTAATATCTAATTAAATTTTATCCATTCTATTAAACTCAAATTAATTTAACAAAAAAAATATTTTTTCAATTAATTCGATCATCGATCGAAATAATTAAAATTACTCAGTTTATTAATGATTTTTAGAAAAATCGATTTCAATTAAGGATTAAAAGAATTGATTAATTTGATTTTTGAAATTTAGTTTGGTCAATGGCCGCTGCTGTTTAAACACCTTTATTTGTTATTTATGTAGACATCAAATTCATTTAGATATTTTTAAAATAATTTTAATTTAATTTAAATAATTAATTGTCATTTTCATCGAATTTTAAATTAAATTGTTGGGTTTAGTTTGATTCGTGATTTAGGAGTTGGATTTGAGCCCATTCTATTTGAATATGGGTTTCTATCAAGTAGCTTGGGTCGTAGTATGTATATGATATTTAATATAATTATATTA